TGAAAAAGAATCCGTGCAGTGAAAATGCTTCATTTTAATACGGGCGTATTTGATTTGAATATTTCCATTATACGTAGTGAAAAAATCCATTTTGTTAAGACTTTTCACTTTATCTAAAAACGAACATTTTTAAACGGTAATCAAATAAAATTTTTTTATTCTTACAACGCGTTTTTTTCTCAGTGTACGTCTAAAACAGTGGAAGCATGCATTCCGTCTCCCAAAAAATGGTCGATTTGTTTTCTTGTGTTTCGATCTCGAGACAGTCATGCAGTTTGATGGATCTTTTAATGCTAGAACCTAGCACTGTAAAACGCAAAAGTAATTGGAAATGCGAGCCAGACTATAGGCCAGTATGCAGCTCTTAAAAAAACGGACAAGAAAAATTGCCATTATTTCGTGTATGTCCAAGGACTTTTGATATCGGATACTTTACAGCCTGTTGCCTCGCTCTTTCCCCAAGAAATAATTGAACGGGAATATACATATTTCTGTTGCATACATGGGTTGCCTTGTGCTTATTACGGAAAATATATAAAATATACAAAATATAAAAACTTCATAAAATATTCTTAAAAATTTCAGCCATACCACGACTTTTTTAATTAGTTAGAATTTATTAATGCAAACAATTCTTCCTAATTAAAAAAAGTCGTGTTAACGTTTACGTAGCCACAAGTGTATGTATGCATGTATGCTCTTTTGGTTTTAAGATCTGAAGACATAACTTAAAGTTTTATCATACCCTTAAGTCCCTGAATGCAAAAGTAATGCAACGGATTAATAAAATAAAAAAAAAAATTAAAAAACAAAATATGTACTCACCTTTTTACTGCACACATTTTTTGGAATTCGTTGGAGAGATTCTCTTTCTTTCTATGTACATTTTCGTTTCATTTTTGCTAAGCCACACATTTCACTTCATCACAATTCATTTTATAAAACAACACAACACTTTGCAAATATTTTGCATGAATTAATTTACCATAAATTAGCGCTTCTTGCGCACAAAGAGATTAACCGGTCGACCGCGACCCTCTAACAAATTTAAAACATCCACAGCCACTTCCGATTTAATACTGAATTTTCTCGCACTGGAATTACCGAGTATTATTTTCTCAATGATGGAATATCTCCTCACACTCTTTCAATACTCCTCAACTAGTTACATATTGCACCTTCTTCAAAATTATTCGCATGATATTTTCGTTGCTCTATTTTTATTCTTCAACAGGTTTGTGTATACATGACATTTTTTTCTAATTGCTATGCTCCTCTCAGTGACACAAACATACATTCACACTGCTACAGGTATGTGGGTGGCTGCGTCGCAGTCGCATACTCCCCAACAGCGCTGCTTTGTCTATCATCGCCAGCTCAGTTGAAAATCGGTTGCTGTCGTGTCAAATTACTGTTGTGGGCGTCGGTACGCGTTCGGTCAAGTTTATTGATATTTAATTGCAAATTGTTTGTGATTTAATTAGCTTTTGCAAATTAGTAATGTTTCGCCAATAGTTTTGTGTAATAAAAGTGAAAGTGTGAAGTGGGCAGAAATGTGCTTTAATAGTGTAGTTCAAAGAAAGAATTGTTGTGCTAAGTGCTTTCCAAGCGATTGGAAATCAAAATGCCTGGAAAAGCATAAGTTCCAAGTGCGTGCAATTTTTGTTGTTGCATGCCGTTTAAATGTGGTTTTATACATATGAACATACATACATATGTTTTTAGTACCATCGTTCGATCGCTTCTATCTCAATAATTTAATACAAATCTATTTTGCGGAAAGGAGGGCAAAAATAATCAACATTTATACAGCGGTTGGTAAACTTCAAGGTAAGTCAACTTTGACCTGTGTATGTACATCGAATAGGTACTATTTAAATGAATTTTTAATGGCATTTGTTAAAAAAAAAATAATTTCAGGATGCGTAATACTTTTTATTTTTAATAAAAATTCAAATCCCCGATTTGCAGAGTATCGGGGATTTGAATTTTTAATTTAATATCGGGGATTTAAATTTTTAATTTAATATCGGGGATTTTGTAGAGCATATATTTTTTCCCCAAAAATATGAATCTAAATGTCGTAGTGAGCGTATAGTAAATGTGGGTACAAACATTAACTTGGTTTTGACTTCGATGACAGATCCATGGTCCTTCAATATGCAGAAGTTCTGATTTTAATTTTGCTAAGAAAAAATTTCCGAGAAAAATTATGTGACATTTTCTGGCAGATCAGAAATTTTCGATAATTTTTTACTCTCGAGTTTTAATGTTTTTTTTCTTCTTCAATTGCAATTTTACTTATGAGTACGGCATACCTCAGAAAAATTAATTCATTTCTACTTATGTAGCAAATAACTTCAAATTGATGTATAATCACTTAGAAGATTCATTGAGGTAAACCAAATGCTTACACTTTTGATACATATTTTTGCGAATAATTGCACTAATCGCGTGTTGTGGTGTTGATTGAAACTCAACATTTGAAAAAACATTTATATGTCTGGCTGTAGCTCAGATGCTTGCCATAATTCGTTGATATCCAGAGAGGGTCGGGGTTCGAAAACCAACGTGCAAGTTAAATATTGTTTTTTTTTTTTGGTTTTTTGTCTTGGCTATTCACTTCGCGGATGCTTTTTCAGAACGAACTTCATAGCATCATAATTGGCCCCCAGCTCGAGTGAATAAGTATATGTATGAATGAATGTTTGTCAACAAAATTCCTTTTCTAGAAAACGTTTAGCTTCAAATTTCACATTTATATACATATTCATATCGTACGTTTAATAATATCAACTCAAAACTTACGTTTTTGGAGATTATGCCCAAATATGGCGAAGATATGTGTCTTTACATCTATCTTTTTGTATACCAACTGTATGAATTGATAAAACTTAGATTACGTTTTCCCATAAAATTTAAATTTTGAAATATTTCGTTGTATTATTAAACGTGCGATAGGTACTTATTAACGGTAATGTGGCAGATTAATACACAAACGAAAAACATTTTCTGTGCAAATTTTCCTGATTTTTCACTTAAGCTAGTTGTTGCTGAGAGCACTGGGGCAATCCTGTTGGGGGCCCAGTGAGCATTGCCTGTTTTGTTGACCATTAAATCCGCCACTGGCTACAATGCAATTAACTTTGGAATATTAACTTTTTGCCCGTTTTGGTTTGTTCGAGTGTACATGCATAATATGTATGTATTTCCAGCTGTTCCTGGTGCTAGCTGTAAATGGCTCATTTTTTGGGTCCCTCTCTGGCTAGCTGTATGTATGTGCCACTTACCATTTGTGTGGACAGAAATTTATGCGCCTTCTGATTCGTTAATGCTGTAAAATCAGCATTTTTCGTATAATTTATGGTGTCGCTGACTAAGTTTAAATTTTACTATTTTCTCTCACTTTTTGCAAGGCTGTTGACATAAAAGTGCGTACATACATGTTTAATCAAATATAAACCCTTTTTTCTCACAATTTACTGTTATGGTTGTTTTTTTCAGAATATAGATGTAATTAGGCTTCACTAATGCATCTCCATGAAGAGACTTATCAGTGTGCACTGATAATGTTTTTAAACATATGAGTAATTTTTTGCTTTGCTGACCGTTGGAATTTCTTACTTAAATTATTAAATGTCAGCAAAGCTATATTAGGCACTGGTAGAGAATGGTATATATGGAAAAGAGGCTGTAGAAAAAGTTTATTCTCTCAAAAAATCGCAGTAATTAACGAAAGTAAAAGAAAAAAGACAAGAAAATCTTTCTCACACCAAAAAAAATTGGTCGCAGTTGATAAACGCTTCTTAGTGGTAAAACTGCTCAGAATAAAATTACTTCGCTTGGTCCCAAAACACTGGCACCATAACCTTGTAGGCCTTCTTGTGCACGTTAATGATTAAACTTCTTAGAAACAGCTTTTTGCTAAGATGAAAGAGAACAGTGCTATTCATATAAATTAGTTTTAATTAGTTCACCCTGCCGGGAATTCGTGGGTGCGAATCCCACTGGCAGGAAAAATTTTTTTAAATATATTTTTTTGTTCTTGTGGAATGAGCCATATATAAATCTTAAGTTTTTGTAACAAACGTTTTATTTTATTGTTAGTATATCGATGGCTGAGTGGAAGATCGACCTATCTCGGCTGCCAGTTCGAAAACGCCCTATCTCAAAAAAATTTTCAAGAACGCCCTATTTCAGAATTTTATTCAAAAACACCCTACTTCGAAATTCGGTTCAAAAACGCCCTATCTCAATTCAAAATGTATTGAAAATATGCTAATATAGGGCGTTTTTGAACCGAATTTCGAAGTAGGGTGTTTTTGAATAAAATTCTGAAATAGGGCGTTCTTGAAAATTTTTTTGAGATAGGGCGTTTTCGAACTGGCTGCCGAGATAGGTCGATCTTCCACTCAGCCATCGATATGTTTTTGCTTTGAGTCTACAAATTGTACAGTTGTACAGATTTTGACATTTTCACAGTTACAGAGTGGTGTTGTTCGGAAAGCTTCCATTGAGCTGAACTCGTTCTCGATACAACTTTCTAGAAAACATCACGCTGTGGCTGCCAAATGTGCAAATTTTATTATTTGTGTGTAAAATCTTGTGGTTTTCCTCGTATTCGTTGGCCTTAATAAACAGAGTCGCCTCTGATGAAGCACAAGCATAACACCAAGCCACATACTGAATGTTAGAGGAGAAGCTGAACAAATAATAGTTTTTGATTAAAAATATTAATTTTCGAAGTGGTTCAAATTTTTTTTTTTTGCAGATATGTGAAATGTGCCAAGATTTTTTAATATAATTTAATAGATAAAACCATTTTTGCGTTTTTCTGCTGTTTTAGAAGCCAAGTATGCTCGCTTCATTAGTGTCCCTCCAAATGGTTTATTTAAGAATTTAGTTGATTCAATAACAGAAAAAGTGAGCACGAAAATTTAATAATCTGAAAAAAAGTACCGAACTCTTACAAATGCTGTTACATATATGTATGTAATTAGTTAACATAAATTCTCACTCACACTTCTAAAAGTCTCTAGGGATACTGCCGTGATGTTGCCAGCAATAATTTTATCCTCTTTTTGTGAACGTTGCATGAAAATTATCAAATCACGACGAAATCTTGGGCTCTGTTCATACCAAGAACACGAAAACAGGGCTGTGGTCAATTGGCGCATTTCCGCCATTACTTCATCCATAAACCAACAACAGGGCGCCACTTCAATTATGATAGCAAAAAAGAAAATTATAAATTTCAACAACTGAAATAAGTCGAAGTCGCCACCAACAAAAGCAATGGCGGGTGCGCAAAGTCCCAAGGCGGTGCTGAGAAACTGTACGAAAAGTGTGCCGGAAATAGCGGGACGTATGCAATTGTAGTAGCTGGAAGATAAGCATGCACATAATCTAAGTACTGAATATGCAAATAACTATTACATCTGTGTGATGTACATATATTTCTTTGCTCACCACATACATTCCCGGTGATCTTGCACGCAAGCGATTAGTTCCCCATAGAGGTCCGTCTCGGTGCGCGTATTGCAGTTTCCAATGCGTTCAATGCGTGCATTTAAGACACGCAAATGAGCCACCAGCAATGCTAAATATGTAACCGAGTAGGTGTCAATGCACACGGCATTCGTTACTTGCGAACAAAAGCAGAACATTTGCAGAGTACACGCTAATGTATAAGCGCCTCGCGAGTGCTGCCAATCGAAGGGCAACCAACCTTCAAAGGGTAATTTGTGACTCATCACGCCGAGTAGCCCATAAACGAGTAAAGCCAACCAAAATCCAGCATAATTTACAATAAATATTCGGTGACAATAGCGAACTGTACGCTTAAGGTAAGCGCAATCTTCTATATGCCCCTCGGCACGTCTGTCCATAGCGTGTAGGTGATGAGCGGCTTTTTGCAAATCACCTTGAATGTAGTAAAATATAATTGCCTGCTTTGCTGTGGTGTAGAGCAAAGGCAGCGCCACACTAAGATTGGCAAGCCTATCAGCAAAGTCGATATGCACAAATAACGATATCACGTAAAACAGCGGAAAGAGTATGGCGCCGTAAAAAATTATTAGCACCGAGTATGCATAGTAGATGTAGCTGCTCTGCATGAACGGGAGCATTCCTAAATAGCGCCAACACAGCCAGATATATCTAAGCGCATCGTGCGTGTCCAGCTTTGGAGATGGTGATGACAGTGTTGTTTGCGACGACGACATTAGCCTCTGGTCGTCCAGAGATATTTGCTTAATAGACATGTTTGGCTTGTCTCCGAGAAGCTATGTATTTTATTTGTATAGGATTCGTCTAACTTTATTGAAGGAAGGATGTTAGTTGCTGAAAATAAACTGACAAACTATTTAAATAGTTACACAGTTGAAACTTTTTTGGTTGTCTAGAAATGCGTTACTCTTTGAAGGTCAACCTTTTGGCTTAAAGCACCAATTGGGTCTGAGAGTTTGTGCTTGTCTCATATAAAAAGAAAAAGAAAAAGGGTTGCATGAATTAATTAATGTTTGACTGAAATGACAGCGATAAAAAAACAGTGGTATGTTTCCGTACTTTATGTGAAATTTCCCGAATTAAGACTAAAAATGTTGTAAGACCAAGAAGTATTTCTGAAGCTTAAACCTTCAAAATTATTGAGTTAAAGCAGTGTTTGCATTGTTCACACTGAAACTGAAACATGGATCAACGATAAACTTTCTTCCTCCGAATGTTTTCATGACCATTACCGTGTGTAACGACAAGATCGTTGTGCTGCCATCACAGTTCAAGTAAGGGGTGCTTTAGTATTGCTTGCAGTCAGAGCGGATTTTAGCAGTACTCGAAATACTTTAAACTCCTAAGATAGCTCCTTAGAACAAATATGTGTTAGAGTAAAGTTCTCAAATTGTAATGGCCTTATTCATAAAAAATAAATTAGCTTTAAAAAATGTTTATAAACAGAAAAATTTATGAAGATGCCATTTTATAAATCTCTTTAAATCTACTTTATTTTTTATGAATAAGGCCATAAATCTATATTTTTTACACTGTCCTATATTCCTCCAATGAGTGGCATAGAAATTTACCAAAAGCATCTAGATAATGTGATGTTTAGTATCTTTGATAATCTGAAAAACACTGATGATCAAGATATACTTCTAGGTGATTTTAGTTTAAGTAACATTTACAGGGCATATTATAATAAAAATTTAATACCAACCAATGTCAAATCTGAAATGGAAATCTTAGTTTGTATGTAGCGATTTATTCTCCATCGGGCTTAATCAATTTAATAGATAATAGTTTAAATGACAATGGTCGTATTTTAGATTTGGTTTTCGCATTCAATGAGCTAAACATATCTTATTATGAAGGCTTATCGCCCGCATCCGCCAATAGCTTACATCACAAGGCTATTATTATCAATTTTAACTTCTATGACCGTAGTTCTACTAATAATGTTTCTGACTATGCCAAAGTTGATATTTCCGCTATCAATGAAGTTCTTAGTTCTGTCTATTTTAAACTCTTTCGACTATCCTATTGATTCATATATAACAATTCATATTCGCCAAAATATTTCATAACATCTTAAATACTTTACCTTTTCAACAAGCTAAAGACGAATTTAATGGCTTTCAACACGGGTTTCTTCCTAATAGATCCATATGCACTAGTCTTTTAATTATCACGAATCAAATTGTTAAGGCTCTGGAACAAAAACATCAACTGGATGTCTTAAATACCGACTTCTCTAAAGATTTTCACAAAGTTAACCTTCTATCTCAGCATTCGGTTCAAAACTGCCTTTTACCAAACGAAAATCTGTATATTGAAAATGTGCTAAGATAGGGCGTTTTCGAACCGAATTCTTCAACCAAATCCTGAAATAGGGTGTTGTTGAAAAATTTTCTGAAATAGGGCGTTTTCGAACTGACTGCCGAGATAGGTCGATCTCCCACTCAGCATTTTTTTTCTTATATGGGGAAATCTTTTGAGATGAATGAATATTTTGCAACTGCCAGGTGCGGTTTCTATACCTTTGCTAATACTAATAAATAAATGTCAGTAAATAATTTTTCATAAAAAAACTAATGGTTTAAATGACTAATGTACTTGCCAAAAAAGAGAAAATCAGGAATGTTTGAGTGCAATCCGCATAAAATCTACTTTTTATTAAGGAGCTCGGGATTTTCAGACATTTATTTATATACATATGTATGTATGTATATGTAGGTATGTAGTATAGGTTACTTCATTTCACATTCAAATGATATTAGTCTGAAGAAAATTGTAGGCTGTAATTATTTATTATAATAAGATGGTGTCATGCAATTGTGGTATCCTTTTACAGAATTCAGCTTATTCCACGCTTCTAATATTTGGAGAATATTGATTTGAGAAAAGTATCATTTATTGTGCAGTAGCTCATATACGCACATAATCTTCAGAGAGGTTGTACTAATATTCAAAGTTACCAAAACTGCCAATATATATCATCAAGAGTACCTACCTCAAGGTTGAGCTTGAAGTGTGAGCCAAGATACTTCAACCTTACCTTCGCGACAGCTGGAAAAACTAGTAGTGGTAAAAAGTGTAGTTCTGATTCACGTCATGGAATTTGATCGATTTACCACATGGTTATCATACTTACCTCTTCTCTAGACTTCATAAGCTCTTAAGCAGTGTGTTTACTTTTTCTTAATTAATACCCACATTTGTTGTTGTTGAAAGTTTCTGTCAGAGGACCTTCCACCAAACCTTCCGTTTCAAGCTTCGACTCATCCGTTAAAATATTTATTGCTCTTGTCCTTCAGTCACCTTTCCTAACCCAATATTTAATCCCTTGCGCAGATAAAAAGCTTTTGACGCCATTTCAAAAAGCGCGATTTTATTCAAGACGAAATCGAAACCTTCAAGAATTTGAGAATGTTCATACACCCACATTTTGCTCTAATTTCTCTAAGCCTGATTGCTGCATGCCCTGCGAAAGTTCTCGCTGCAGAGTCAATAGGCATTATGTTGGGCATAACGTTAAGCGCTGCGAGTGAAATTGGTACACAATGAATCACTGGTATCAATGAGAGTCACCGGTTTCTATGAGATTTGGCTGATCTAGGGTAGAGGTTGGAGGCCCCTAACTCTACGATGGAAACAGGCATGCATGCATGTTGAGCTTTTGAGAGTCATTATAGAAGAGTCTCGTTTCTTTTGTGTGGATTAATAAGTCTTTCTGGCCTTTTAAGCAGGAACGAAAAGAGACTGATGGCCTGATGTGCTTGAGCATTCGGCCTTTGAGATAAGCTCAACTTGGGCGATCTTTCATGTTCAAAGAAAGTAGGGATCATGGGAAAAGGGAATCAGAAAGAAGCTCTAGCAATGGCGTAGCCCATCAATTCACAAAAACCATTCATTCAAATTTTAGAGTTATTGGCTATTCGGAATTTTATTTATGTGTTTAAATAATACACAACAGATATTTACTACAAATTTATTCCTTCAATTGTTTGAGTAAAGTAAACAAGGAAAAGGCGAATTTTATAATCTGCAATAAAGAAAATAAAATACATTACTGAAAAAACTTGGCGTGAACTTACTTTATACCCACGCCGAGAAATGTTTCTAGTGATACCGTTGCAATATTGCCTGCCAATATTTTTTCCACCAACTGCGTACGTTGCATGAAAATAACCAAAGAACTGCGAAATTTTCTACTCTGCTCGTACCAGCGGCAAGAAAACAATGAATTGGTTAAATTTCGCATTTGTGCTGCAGCTTCGTCCATAAACCAACAACAAGGTGCTACTTCGAGTAGTACAACTAAAAGATAGGGAACAAATTTCAGCAGCTCGGAAAAGCTAAAATCAGAGCTCATAAAAGTAATGGCAGAAGTGCAGAGCGCAAAAGCGGTGCTAAGAAATTGAATGAAGATTGTGGCACCTATCGAAGGGCGAATGCAATTGTAGAAGCTGAAAAAGTACAAGAAGTTCAGCAAGTATGTGCATAGTTATAAATACTTAAGAAACATGTCACCACATGCACTCCCAGTGATCTCGAACACAGGCCGCGAGTTGTTGATAGTTTTCCTCTGCGTTATGCCTGCCATCCGCTTCCGTCATACCTATCTCAGTTATACGCGAATTCAAAATGCGCAGATGAAAGACCAAAAGTAATAAATAAATAATCGAAGCGGTATCGCTGCTGACAGCATATATTGTTTGCACGCAAAGGCAGAACATCTGGAAAGCGCATACTAATGTGTAAGCTCCCGCCGAATGCTGCCAATCGAAGGGCATCCAGCCACCAAAAGGTAACTTGTGTCGCGATATGCCCACCATTCCGTACAGAAGCGCGCATATTAAAACCCCTGTTAAAGCTGTGGTGAAAATTAATTGACAGTGGCGCACTTTTCGCTTCAGGTAGTCGCTAACCTGCGGTTGCTGCTGCTCAGCGCGCCTATCCAGCGCTTGTAAGTGTAATGCTGCCTTTTGTAAGCTTCCGCTATGGATGTGATAGCAAATAATCGCATGCTTTGTCGAGGTGTAGATTAACGGCACTAGCACGCTAAGATTCGATAACTCTTCATCTAAATCGTTTTGTACAACGAAGCTAACAGTGTAAAGTCCTATTAACAGCAATGTGGCGCAGAAGTTCAGCAGCAGTGAGTAGGCGAAATAGATGTGCGTGTGTGTTTTGAGCGGATGTATGCCTGTCAAGCGCCAAAAGAGCCAATGATAACGCAGCGCATCGTGTGAGTCCAACGGAGTATTTTTCGGTGGTGGTAATGGCAAATATTTTTGAAAGCGCATTTTGAATCTTTACTTGTTCAATGACTTATTGTATTTAAAAAATTTAGTTATTTGAAGTTCATATTTATATCAATGAAACAAACAACAGAGGCAACACTTAAAGTCGCCGAAGTATGAGCTTACCGAAAGTCATACATATATTTAAATATGTAATTAAAATGTCAACATTAAAATTAAGAAAACAATAATAGAGGGTTTTTTAGAACAAGAGGCAGGAAATTGATCCAACTACGAGCTAATGAAGTGTTGGCATGCAATAATTTGGTGTGATACGAAGTGAAAGGAATTAAAATAAGAACATGACAGCAATTGAAAGAATTCTGTCGGTGTAATTAATTTTCATGGAGCTTTGTTGCGATTCAGGTTGCTTATGCACATATGTACATATTTTAAAATTTCCCTAAATAATTGGTAGTCTCTTTTCCTTCCGTACTTGTTAACAAATGGGCAAATCCAAGGGTAGCGGGCGTTATGATCGAAAGTTTCTTTTAATAATTTTGTCGGCAAAACCAGTACGAGTTAACAAATTTTTTGTGATATAAGGGAAGGTTTAAAACGGCGATTTTCATATGGCTATCAAAGTCAAATATTTTTTGCAAATTGTCATGTATTGAGAGCACAAACTACAAAAATACTTTGAATATAAAATATAGTCTCAATCAAAGCTCGTTTATTATTTACCCCTGAGATTATTAGCTATAAAATTTGTTGTGCTTGTTTATTTTACATGTCAAGGAAAAACTAAGTCCTTCTCTGTCCACCGTGATCCCTTTTTTCTGCTATATTAAGCAATTTAAATTTATTTTAACTTAATATTTGTTAAAAACACCCTTTACAAACCTCTTTTTCCTTGCTAGCGTTCATTTTTGTTTACTTTCTGATTTGGCATTTCTCCTCTTCTTCGCAAAAATAATCGATAAAACTAGGTTGGATACCGAAAAATTATCGGTTTAATCTGAAATTATTTTATAATTATAGATTAAGGAGGGACGAATTTTGTATGGCTAATCTCTTTTCCAATTTACAGATTAGGGAGTTAAGCTCAAAAATTAGGAAAATCTACTTATATGTAAACCTAGTATAACAAAATGTATTACATAAGCAACCTAAAGTTTGGATTAACTTTAAAACAATTGTCGTTGGAAAAATTTATTTATTTTTTGTTGACGACGAAGAAAGGCGCGTAATTAAGGATGTATAAATGGCCAAGTATCAGCATAATTCCCCAAATATTTACCGCGAAAATAAGTTTCTTCGCTGAAGTTTTTTCATGTGTCTTTTTTCGCGTTCAGTTACTGAGTTCGCTCGCGCCTTTATTCGTGTCTAGTGACGATATGTAGTTGTCCATTGTAAGTGAGTGCCAAGTGGCAGCACTTTCCCTTTACAAGGGTTTCGTTTGTAAAGAGAAAAGTCAGAATGATCAAGTCATTAATCTGCTGAACCACATTGTCTGAATTACCTTCTTTTAGCCGTATCTGACATCAAGCATGTTACACCAACAATAATATATATATTGTACCTGGAGAGGCTAATCCGCCAAACTGCCCAGAGCTAAGACCAGTGGAACGCTATTGGGCTGTAATTAAACGGAAACTGAAGGCCACGAAAGGAGTATCGAAGGACATAGGGGAGTTCAAAACTAAGTGTACTGCAGCTTCTAAAGCCATTCCCTACTTAATATTTTGATTTTTCTTTGTTACAGTTTTTTTAATAAACTGGTTAAAAATGCAGTAAAAGGTTACAGTTATATTTTCTGATATTCATATAAAGTATGGATCCTTCCCCATTTCGGAATGGTATGGATCACTAAACAGTGGTTGTACCTATACATATATTTTCCTGCCTTAAATGTTGGCATCTCAAAGCCATCTCAAAGCCATACCTGCCCGTCAACTATCTCGTTTCCTTCTATGTTGCTATGTCCTGGAACCTAGCAAATAAAAATGTGAATGTGACTCAGTGAAGCCAACGCAACACGCTATTTGCGTACAATCGTCGATTTTGCTAATTTGGATCCTCTTGCTTTCAAAGCCTCTTGGCTGTTGGTGAAGATAGCGACTTTTCTTGCTGAAGTCGTGCTAAGTATAAATCTCATCTTGGAACGAGGTACACAGAATGGAGGGAGGCCAGTGATGTTTCTCTGCTCAACCTTTGAACCATCCAGTGTTAATAGATAACCTTTATCTAACAACTATTCTTAAGGCTTCGTCACATTCTTCAGTGGTCGAAAATCTTATGTGATTGTCAGTCATTCTGCGTTTTCCTAAGTTGGTTGGTTTTCATGAGTTTGCTTTTCTAAGTCTGAGGACGCATTTTGCCGCCACATTATGAAAAAGATTTTACAGCAGTTGAAGGTAAAATATCGTGTTAAGCTTCTACTAAGTTGCGCTTTTGTGGTTTTCAATATCTCGCCAAGTGAGGACAAAGCCAATATCCAAACAAGGCTTGATAGCGAATGATAAAATGATTGAGTATAATTTGATAATAATTGATCGGCCGACAATAATAGTTAAGTATCTAGATTTAACTCTAAGAAACTAATAAATTTCGTAGACAAGTGGGTTCTGGTATTAAAAATTAACCACAAAATTATTTGTAAGAAATAAAGTAACCCGTTTAGCAAGACCTACATTTGTAAGAAAATTTCTTTGCCCTTTTTACCCCTTGCATGCGGCGAAAGAGTGTTTCGGTGTGTATATAAGGAAATATGTGCGTTTATTTCTTAATTTCCTGAAATCCAATATTTCAATTAAACAACAACAAATATTGCAGCGGGTAAACCTATACTCTTCGTCCCCAATTGTAAAAATTTTTGTACTTTATTAATTAACTTTAATTATTACGCAACGTTATCGATGTACATACAAAATTACATAAATACTGATTTATTATTAAAATTACGGTATCGGTCTTTCTTACGCAAAGTATAGTTTACTTAAAAATAAGTAATTAACAGCAGATGTGTGAATCAAAGGCAAAAGCGAAACTTCTATAATTTTAGTATTATACATATATGTAATTGTTGTAATACAAAATTTTACGACACTAGCAATTGGTGAGCGTGATAATTACTAGGATCGGCTAGACATGCATGCCGAATTATGGAATATATGGAAAACAGGGTCCTAATATCGTATCCTTTATATGTACATACATACATGCTAGTTTCAAAATTATTTCTTTGACCCTGCTGTTAGAATAAAATAAGTATTTTTTAAGCAAAACCACAACCGACTTTAATTCTCATGTACCGTTAATTTTTCATGATCCAATGTTCGGATCTAAATTAGTATGGGACCACCTGTGAGACACTATTATCGAAATCGGTTGACGTGGTCCAAAGTTATAAAGTTATGCGGTAACATACATACATACAAAAAAATGTTCCGATGAATGGATAACCTTCTCCTTTTTTTGAAGTCGGTTAAAAAGGAATTAAATTAAAGAGTCAAAGTAAACAATGAGATTATTTGTAATGAAAATTTTGTTAAAAACATTGAAATATAGTTATTAAAAAAGTTATGATAATTTATCCTTATTAATTTTTTCTCTTTTTATTGTACTAAACCCTTCAAAGTAATTAACATTTTTTGAAGTTTACTATACACCTATTGAATAGTTAGAATACAATTTTTGTTAGTTACCTTAATTGCATACAAATTTTAAAATGCTCCTTAGTTTTTACACTAAAATCGTAATTTATTCATTATTCTTTATTTAAACAATAGTCTTCGAGGATCTTCCGCAAATAGATCAATTGATTCTGTGTTGATTTCATTTTTTTTTTTCTACAAAACCTCTGCGAACGATAGGCATACATAAACCTAAATTACAAGTACAAAGTAAGTAGAAAATATTAAAATATTAAAATTACACCGACACCTACTGACAGGTATTACGACTCGTTGAATACGAATCAAAGGTCCGTTTGACTTGTACACCCTCAAAATATCAAGTAACTTGCGAAAATTGAGAAAAAAATGGAAGAAAATTAACAACTGAATTAAAATCTTGCGCCCCACTCACCCCATACCTGCGTACGCTCAAGGCTAGAACTTCTACCATTTGTAAACTCTTGTGTTTCCTGCAATAATTTTTCAATACAAATGGCCTCAAGCACAATTAAGTTGTTGAATATGTTGTAGCTGTGATAAGATGGAACTACATCCCTTCAAATTGTGACTAGCTCTTATTATTTGTTAAAATTGATTGGTTGGGTTGATGATTTGGAGAATACAACTAAGTCATTTTACTTAATTAAAATCGAATATATAGTTACAAATTTCGCGTCATTGTGTTTGTGGTCGAACTCCTGCGAAACGGCTTGACCGATTTCAACGAAATTTTTTTTGCGTGTTTGAGTGGGTCCCTGGATGCACTTTTTTTTGACAGCAACGCAAGTGTTTGCTATATTGAAAACGTTGAATTCCTTTTCATTTTATCATGTGAAATTTAAAGACAAAAATAATGAAATTAAAAATAAAATAAATATTGCGAAAATTATTCCATTGTTCCTGAGTTAATTTGTGTGCATTTATCTATTTATTTGAAGAAATATGCTAACTATTAGCTTATAGTTTTAGATGTTGTGAGAGGCAGTAGCAAAACAAAAATACTTTGAAGATATTTCTAAATGAAAAATTTCTCAAATACATACGCTACACGTATTGTAATACATAGTTTATCTTATCGATTTAACTGAATTAAATTTATCAAATAGGTGGCAAACCTCTTCGAGATGAAATTTTCTAAAACCTTTTGTCATTAAATTGTCTAAAACCCATAAAACTATGTTCACATTACAGTATAAATTACTTTTTTTCGATCAAATTACTTCACAAAAACTAAGTACGTTCAAATTTTCTTTCATAATTTCTTGCAATAAACCCGTGTACGTACGAGTGTGTGATTTGTATTTGTTAACAAAAAAAAATAAATTAATTAAAAAATAGTTGCATACCTTTAGGCATTTGTTCAAATTTCCAAATAACAGTGGGGGCTATAATAAATAAAAAATCTTTTTTTTCTTCATTTGGTGCTTGATTTATGACAAATTATGTCATTTATATTTAATTTATTGACAATAAAAACTTCGCATATTTTATTTTTATATGATATTGAGGATACATTTGCATATTTTACAGAATTACGTCTACGCCACGTGGAATTTTACCCTTTTAAAATCGTGTACATTGAAAACGAAAATTTAATGATCTGCAAAAATTAAATAAAAATATTTATTTATTAGTTATATGCTCTTACATATATATATACCTATCGCACACGTTCTTCTAAAGTATATTAACTCTTAATTTGGAATTTCGGACGTTATGCGCTTAAAATATTTTTACTTAGTAAAATCTGTTCGAATTTTGCTTTTTATGCTTTTAGTCAATATACCATTGAAGATAATGTGCGATATGCATAAGTCATTCAAATATTTACATTTAAGAAAGTCTGTAGAGTAATCGGCACCAAATTACCAGCCATTAGAACAGTTGCTCGTTGTGAGCGTTGCATAAAAACGATGAGTATTTTACGAAATTCCTTGCTCTGTTCAAACCACTGGCAACTGTATATAGCCAAGGTTAGTTGACCACACTCCTCCAAGAGAGCATTGACGTACCAGCAGCAAGGTAAGGCTTCAATCAAAACTGCGAATATATAGGTGATAGCGATCAGCATTTGTGCGGTATCAACGCCGAAGGCCACATATTTGACGGCGGTGAGGCAGAGCACGAAGGCAGTGATGCCAAATTGCATGAAAATGGTACGTGAGATAACCGGACGTATGCAGGCAAAGTAGCTGCAATGAATTATTTATTAAAGAAACTTAAGTTAAAGTGTAAAATGTTGAGTAAAACTAAAAACAAAAAATAAAAAAGCACCCTATATTTAAGAACAAGCTTTTCTAACTTCTCACTTATATAATTATAAAGTTGAATTATAAAGGCGTGCGTGTGAAAGTGTGCATACGTGTGCTTCTGACACGCAACGCGAACCAGTATCTATTCGCGTTGGCACCTGAGTGTTTAGCGGTCTCTGGCTGCGTTGTTTGTTGCATACCTGCGTGCGTTCAAGTTAGACAAGTTTAGTTCGCAGTAGTGGTCGCTAAAGGAACGCTGGCAGCAAATATTTAAGTCCTTTGCTCTTGTTTTTTTTTTATAGTTGGCTAGTGCAGTTGTCGATGTTGCCGCGGTGGTGCCGTGGTTGCCACAATGTGCTAAAAAGCACTAAGTAAAATGCGCTTAAAAGCGCTGCTAAAAGTTTTGTGGCTACCTGATTTAAATGTTGATGATATGCTAAGTAGCTTTGCAGTCAAAAGTTTGCGTTATTTCGCGTGAGACTTGCAACGTGCCGCAAGCGAACGTGCAACATGCAAGTACAGCGGCTGCTGATGAGGGCAGCAAGCGGCAAGCGCAACTATTAGTTGTCGCAGCGTCATCAATAGTTCATAGAATGGCGGAATTAATTTTGTTGTTATTTGTCTGCGTGGCACTTTTGGAGGGTTGCGACTGACGCTGCAACGTCTTCATTGCCTTCTGCAACGTTTGGTGTTGGTGGTCTTACTTTCTACCGATATTTTGTTGTCGTCGATGGTTTTTGCTATTCAAAAAGTTTCGTTTATTGCATTTATAGTTAATCTAAGGTGCTATATATATATCACATTGTGGTTGTTGCTGCCGCCTGCGCTGCTATTTTGTGGCGTGCATATTCAACTTTCCGCATATTTTAGTCGCTGGAATTTTCAATAAATACCGAAATGCTCCTCAGAATTTGCTTTAGTGATTTGTGTTATCGACATGACGTCGCTCCCGCAGGAGCATGTTAATTCAATTCATAACTAACGGATTATGGCTGCGAGGGGATTTAGTAAATAATTGTTATTGCATGAATAGAGACGCAAAACTTTGGCGACAGAAAAAAGTATAAATAAGCGAAATGCAATTTTTGAAATTGAAAATTTGTGTGGCTAGAAAATTTGTGTTGCCAAAAGGTATGTAAAAGTTTGGTAAAATATTTTAAGAAACTATTAAATATTTATATTGAGGAAGACATCTTAGTTACTTGCGAGCAAAGGCAAATTATGCAGTCACAAGCAAAGTTAGATTAATTTTGTATGAAACTTCGTTTATTCTGTTCTGAAGCGCTTAGTTGTATTAAGTAGGGTGATTGCCTCTGAAGCGCTTAGTTGTATTAAGTAGGGTGATTACCTCGGTGTTTTCAAACCGGTTTTAAATGATTTTTTTTCCAAATATTTTCTGGCGGTTTGTTTGAAATATTGATTTTTTAATACCGAGTAAACTGGATTTTTACTATCGAATAAACCTGCTTTTTAACTTGTTTATTTATAAACCAGAATCTAGACATTCTAGATAATTATTTTAGAGTTTTGGGAGGGAGTAACAACATAAAAATACTTTTAAGGTGTAGCGAAGCACGCCTGGTATTTGGTAGTATTTCTATGAAGAAAAAAAAGAAAAAAAATTCCTATTACTTTCTAATTTTTTCTCATTCTTCTTCATTAAAAACTCAACATTCTCTCAAATTTCAACTCACCTTAACAAGTTCTTGTGATCTTCTATACAATTCTTTAGCTCCTCAATATTATCTTCCACTGAGAGTGCGCCATCCTTGCCGACTCGACTAATACGCGCCGAAAGTGCACGCATATGACCAATCATTACAGCCAAATAACATTGCGGATACATATCGTTGTTGACATTTTGTAATACAAAAAATGTCATTACCGCGAAATTTTGATAAATCAAAGTTATAGTTAGGTTCTTATCGGCATCTTCGTACAATTTCGGAAACCAAGCATCATAAACCAACTGGCGCAACGAAAAGCCAATATATGCGAAACCGCTGCTGCTTAACTCATACACAAACATATAGGCGACATAGTAGAAGTGACAAATACGTATGGCCCAGAGTAGGTGTTGACGATCCACGGCATGGTGATTACAGCGCGCATCCAACTTCGCCAAATACAAGTTGACGTCCAGCAGCTTAGAGCGATGCAGCCAAAGGGAAAATTGCTTGGCCGTGGCCATTGTGAGTGTGACGCCCAGGTATAGGAGTCCAATGAGTTGTGGTAGATTTTCTATAAAACACAGTTTAGCGATCATTGTGGCGGGCAAGAGTATGCCGAAGACGCTGTTGATGGACGCTGAGTAGGCAAGGTAGAGACAGCGATGACGGCGCGTCGGATGCATGCCAATCAAGCGCCAATTGAGCCAGAGATAGCGAAAGGCGCGAGCTGAATTAAGCGGAGCGCCAGTATCGGTTACTTGCAGCAGAGCAGACATGCCAGAGTGGTGGGCAACTTGTGTGCGTTGACGGTGCGTATGAGTGACTTTCGATTAAGCCGATTGCTTTTATATTATCTAGACTAGATGGCTGAGTGGGTGTCAAGTGTGAAAAGTATTGCGTATTTGATGGTTTAAATTTTTAAGTGACGCGCATAAGTTGCATAAGTTTTTGGTGAAAACTTTGCAGACATTAATGGCAGTTTTTGTATTTTTATACTTCATTATTTTTGGCCAGACGGAGGCGGCAATTTATTATCGAGTTGATTATAGAAAACTTCATTGATTAAACGCGCAAATGGAATTGGTGACTTGCCAAATGTGTGGTTGGTTGTCAGCTGACCACTAGCGCAGCAAATGCCGTACGTGCAACAAATCTGTACGAGCAAATAAATGTCTGACTTGTGCAACGAAGTAGAAAAAAACAAAAAAAAAAATACTGTACAAATTATAACAATAAAAGCAAAACAAAACGCAATTGCAGAAATAATGAAACTTCGAAAAAAATTCAGCCAAATGCAATAAGAAACACAATAGCTTAAATGAAAAAAAAGAAAAGGAAAAATCTGCTGAAATGCGGAAAAAATTGCGAAAACTCAATTAGAGCCGGGAAAATGTTGCACCTTCCGCCAACAGCAGCACCAGCGCAAATGTGTAGCAACAACAAAAAGTAATTGCAGCACCGCCACAAAAGCCCGACAAATCCAGGAAAAAAAGAGGTAGAAGGGAGAAAAAATGCGAGAAGTGGAGGAAATGGCTGGGCGCCTACGACGATGAACGGAGATCAAATCGAATTTATTACAGCATTACGAGACTAAGCAACAAAGAAAAAAACAGCAACAACAAGCACAAAAGCAACAGCAACACTAATATGTAGCAAGTGTGAGAAGGGGGAAAAGGTTAACGGTAATACCACATAAATGCGAAAAAATCCAGGTAAAAGCAAAAGAATAAAGCCAACAGGAATTCAGCGGCACTGACGAAGAAGGCAAGGCAAAGAAAGCACCACACACAAATGCTGAATAACTACGGTAACTTAACTCATTTAAGCTTGTCGCTTCATTAAGTTGGAAATTTTGCTGGCGATGCAATCGACAAAATAGCAACAACAGCAACAATAGTTTGCCAGCTAGTGGACACAGCCTAGACATAACAATCAGCAGGAGTATTTTCGCGTGGAGACATGGAACAGAACGAACCACCTGCCAGCAGTGAAGTGAGCCAAGTTGAGAGCTGTGCTTATGTTTGTATGCTCCTGATCAGGTTGAGGCCTCAATTATGGCCGCGTAATTGCATTTGCACAACGACAATTGAACTGAAATGGAAATGAACTTGCAATGGCGGCAACGGCTACGTTAAGTGGTAGTGGCTTTTGTGGAGATGCCTAATGGAGTCATCAGCATAAAATAAACACACAAACGCAAGCACTTTGCTTGGTGTTTTTTTTTTGTTGAATGTATGCACATACACACATACCTACATACCTAAGAGTATGTGATTGCAGTTATTTAGTAGGCATCGATCGAGAAGTGCTGAGAAAACAGGATTACGCGCTGCACAAAGCACATTTTCCAAAGCATTGCTTATTCTACAGCCGGGCTGGTGCGTTGCGCTAAGTGCTGGACAAATAAGTCGCCGTTGAGTGACCGGTTTTAGAGTGAAGTGTTTAGTGCTTGAGTACTGCGATTTGCATGTGAAAGATGACAGGTGTGGGGCATATAAGGGTTAAGTTAGTAAACAATCACTTATGATTGGGTGGATTGTAGACGGACACACATGCATACATACAACTGTTGATTGAGATTTGCCTTCAATAAAAAACTTGCCGCGTTGCCATTTTATCTAAGTTTTTTAAGAGGCCCATTTAACTGTGTGCCGTACAGTTGTGCTGTGTGACAGTAGTTTGCACTTTTAAAAAATATTTAGATTTTCGCTTAAACTCGCATTGTTTGTATGAGGTTTTCACGATTTACTTGAGTGTTGTAGGAATTGCATGGACATCGATTTTCGCAATTATAATTGAACTATATATCCCCAGCAATTTAAAAAAAATGAAACTTATGTAATTTCGACAAATTTAAGTTTAAGTTTAAATAGCTCATCATTGCACAGTTGTTCCACTTGTATGGAGCATCGGTCAAAAAGGGTTTTCTCTGAAATTACTTCATCCAACTTTTTTCCTATTGTCTACTAAAAAAATACAAATACAATTTTTTGTATCACATTAGCTCTGAATTAAATGTAAAAAATAATGAAAAAAGGTATTTAAGTTTGTTGATATTTTTATAATATTGTACAAGATTTGAAACTTGGATTTATGCTTTTTTTAAGAATAGACTGTATTTTTATAAAACAATAACTATAAGTTAATAACCAAAAAAAAAATGTTACTACGTGGTGAGGTTATGATTTTGACACGGAGTGTACTGCTCTTCAATACTCATTTCCAATAAATTATCATACATAAAATTTTAATTACGCCAAAATCCTCAGCAAGGGGCAACCACTTTCTTCATTCAATCCCCTGAATTTGATGACTAATATTTTGTAATATTTATGCAATTTGCATTCGGCTCCTGGATCTTTGCCCACTAGTACACTCCATACTTTACAAAAAGTAATAGCTCCACCTTCTCACCCAATCAACCGAAACGATGGGGCTTTTGGATGAATGAAATTATCATTCACTACAATGCAGACATTTTTTTTTAAGTGTAACTTCAAAGCGATTTTATCTAATAAATTGTAATTAATTAGTTTAGTATAAAGCAACAAAAGGACTAAATAGTAATTTTGCAATATGTTTGGTGTATGTCAACATAAAAATATATATGTGGATTGGTTTACTGGATGCGCAAAGGCAAAATAAGAGTAATTAAATAGCCATATATTTGTGAAATTTAAAAAAGTGCGTATAATCAAACCAAAATTGTTAATAAATTAGCGCTCGAAATTTGTAATTTTTTTCCAAAAGTAAACTCTTTGATTCAGTACACGCAAGTGAACACAGTAAGCCAAAATGAATGGGCAAATAACTAAGCCGTTCCCTTTGTAAATGTTGTGCTAAAATTATTAAAAATGCTTCATATATTTCTGCCGCTGTCATATATTTCTCACATAACTATTCATTTTTTTTCACATCTGATACATTCTGCTATATATGTATATCAAATGCATCCGTGCATATTTTTTGTGAATAATATTTTTGGGTAACCGATTTTTGCACAGCACTATTCTAATAAGTACTATTCCAATTTTGATTGAAAAAAGAGTAAACCGTTTTTTCTTGCATTTTATTTCCATAAATCTCAGTTTTGTTAGCTTTGGTTGGTGGAAAATTTTCTGCATAAATGAATGCTGTTCACTTTGCAAATTTATGACTTGTATTGCAAATTCCATAACGTATGACTATTGCAGGAATTGAAAAAAAAAAATAAAATAAAATAAAAACAAAAAGAAAAGGGTTGATATATGCATATGTATGTAAAATCTAATGTATGTATGTATATATGAACTAGGGATGTTGCGAATGTGGAATTCTAGAATGCGGATGCGGAAGCCAAGTATTTTTAAGAAATGATTTAGGTAGGTAAATTATTTTATGTTTGGTTCGGGCCAAGTTTCTATGTAATTGCTTGTAAATAATCTTGTTAAAAAACAATAAAAAACTTAAAATAGTTATTGTTTTAGAAGATTATTTATGTAAGCTCTATATTCTTTGACTTAATAAATATTCCAAAATAAGTATTTTTGAATCGAGTTGTGCTTTTTTTATTCGTTCATTCAGTGACTACAACTACAAAAAGACGATTTTGAAAATATGTAGAACTTACAGCTGTAAGGCTCAACAATTGAAAAATAATTTTAGTAACTTTTTCTAACATGGAATTACAATTTTCAGGATTTTTGTAAAAAATTGTGCAATATTTAATGATAATTTTAATTATTTTACCTCCAATAGGAGAAAAACTGTAATAATGACATAAATTTAACTTTAAGTTTGAATAACCGTTAAACCAGCAGGCATCTTTTGACATTACTCCGGAGGTATTGAAAAGGGGGCTATTAAAAAAGTTAAAGTCAGTCGATTTTTTTGAATCAGTCCAATGTACATATATATCCCTGTGTTTCTCGAAAACGGCTCCAACGATTTAGATCAAATTTTGTATAGCGATAACGGTTTGAATTCTGCGGTTATCTAAGTAGGTGTTATATCCCAGAATGGTCGTACAAAGATGCCACCTATTCCAAATTAGTTGCAAATTAAATAAAATATCATAATACGTGTATCAAATATAAGGTATTTTAAAAGTCCCCAATTTAAAAAATTTTGCATACGGTTTCCACCTTTTTTTGAATCGGATATAATTTTTTGTTTAGAATATAAAAGTACAATATTACTTTTTATGGATACAACAAGAAGGCTCTTAAGCAATGCCATGCCTATATAATAAGTGTTATCCCTTAGGATATTTGTGTAAGTTTGCAACTTATTCAACATCGTTTTATCAGTGCACTTGCACAACATTCGCATTCTCAAAAGCTTCGAATTGATCATTGCGAATGCGAATATTAAAATTAATGCTGAAGCTCCGCGGTTGCGAATGCGAATAAGAATATTCGGAACAACCCTGTTATAAACATCCGTTTATAGTGCATGGTGTTAGTATAGTTGAGTGTAGACTCGAAAGTTTAACCAAATGTTCTATCTTTATAATTTTATGACTTGATATCGAATATGGCAAGTTGGAATTGTTTTGAATACTTTGAAATCCTGATATCTACTTTAAAAGAGTAGAAAATGAGTAATGACGATACCCTGCAAATACATTTGTAATTCACTCATCACTGGATGAATCAAATGGACTCAGTAGCGATTCAAGTCAGGTTTTTTAGACTTTTTAAAAAATCTCAAATTTAAAATTTTACAGCGAGATTTATAGTTTACTGACTTAAAGTCTAAAGGTCACAGCATTCTAGCTGATGGTGAATTATGATGT